TGAGGGAGTAAAATTATGCCTTATATAGTTTGTATGAGTTGCCAGAAAGGAATTGTTGTTGTTGTTAGGTGCCATCAAGTCAAAGACAACTCATAGCGACCCTATGGAAAAAAAGATCTGAACCTATTCTTGTCCTGCATTGCAGCAACCACCACGTCCGTTCACCTGGTTGAGGGTCTTCCTATCCTTCACTGACCCCCCACTCTTGCCAACATCAGGCACAGACAGGCCCAAACTACATTGTTTCTGTGGAGAATTGTGCTGCCAGGCTTTTGATGGCTGGTCTATAGGCAGTTGTGCTGCTAACCTGAAAGGTGAGCCCCTTTAGGAATTTTAATCCACCAGCAGCTCCCCCCCCCAAAAAATAGGTCAATCTCTTCCTGTGTTACCTTCAGCTTCAGAAAATTCCCTGTAAGGTAAGCCATGAGTTGGTCTGACTCTACAGCAATGAGTTTGAGTTTTGTTTCTTGAGCTGTAAAATGGATACAGTAATACTTACTGTAGTTTTCTCAGAAATAAATAAGATGTATATATAATTATTTAATAAAATATAACTCTAGGGCAAATCAGATTCTAAGGCAATGGTGTGAGATCAGCTGAAGTCACTATTACTGTGGGTTTGATTTTTTTTCTCTAGTGGATGACTAGAGGTATGTTGTTGTCGTGTTGTTACATGCCGTTGAGTCCCTTGGGACTCATAAGGAGCCTGTGTACAGCAGCTCTGAATCCTGCTCTATTCTGAGCCAACCTTATTGTCTCTGACACGAATACCCTCATTACCCTAGTCACTGAATCAATCCATCTCATAAAGTGTCTTCATCTTTTGTGCTGTCCTTCCACCCACCAAGGACTGGTCCCTCCTTGCAACATGGCCAGTGTATGTCAGACAGAACTTCAGAATCCTTGACTCCAAGAGAGTTTTACCTTCTCCTGGATGAACTTGTTTGTTCTCCTAGCAGTCCATGGTATACTCAATATTCTTCTCCAGCACCACAGCTCAAAGGCATCAATTCTTTTTCTATTATTCCTACTCATTGTCCACACATTGTGATGACCATGGCCTGGATCAGGATCACCTTACTCTCCAGACTGACATCTTTACTATACAATAAATACTCTGCAGAGGTCTCTGAGCAGATTTTCCCAAAGCAATTCATCTTTTGATTTCATGGCTGCTGGTACCAAGAGTGTTGATTGTGGAGCCAAACAAACTAAAACTTTTAACAATCTCTATCTCTTCACCATCTATCATGATGCTGCGAATCAGCCCAGTAGTAAGAAACTTTGTTTTTTTGATGTTGAGCTTCAATCCTTATTGAAGGCTGTAGTTCCTGACCTTTTGAAGCAAGTACTTCAGATCCTCTTCAGTTTCAGCAAGCAAGGTTGTATAACATAGGTTGTTGATAAGTCTTTCTCCAATTCTGATGCCACACTCCTCATAGAGCTCAGCCTCTTGGATAATCTGTTCTGCATACAGGTTGAAAAGGTATGGAGACAGGACACATCCCTGGCTTACACCCTTCCCAATTTTGAACCATGCAGTGTTTCCTTGCTCTGTTCTGATGACGGCCTCCTGGTACAAGTATAGGTTTTGCATAAGTGCAATCAAGTGTTCTGGGATTTCAATTTCTCAAAGTTAGCCACAATTTGTTGTGATCCACACAGTCAAATGCCTTCACATAGTCAAAGTAACACATATAGACATTTCTCTGGTGCTCTCTGCTTTCAGCCTGGATTATCTAACATTAGCCATAATATCCCTAGTATCATGGCCACCTCTAAATCCAGCCTACACATTTGGCAGTTCTCTGTTGATGTGCTGTTCCAGTCACATTTTGATCATCTTCAGAAGAATATTGCTTTAATGTGATATTAATGCTTAAAACAGAACAAATACGCTTTGAAATAATTTTTTTTTTGGAATGATGCTTTTTCTCAAACTTTTTATTTTTTTAGTTTTGGGGCCACTTTTAAGAGTTCATTAGTAAATTTTATAAAGTAATATGTTGGTTTTACTTCTTTTATTCTAATATTGACTATCAATATTCAACAAATATCCATTTGTTAGAAATTAACAGACCATCTCACTAAAAAGTAGGTATGAAAAAGTAGTTGAAAAATTAGTAGATTCTGTTTCATGCTCTATGTTTCTTACTTGATTTTAAAACACTAGGTTTTTTTTATTTTTATTTTCAGGAAGACAACAAATTGAGCACATGTTTTCAGAACCAGGTATGTTAACATTTGACATGAAATAATATTCATTACATTTTAAATTACTCTTTTTATTTCAAAAAGTACTAAATTTTAAAATATATATTATTAGTTACACAAATCTATAAGATCAAAGCAAGCAAATTTTGCACTTTTGAAAATCAAAATAGGCATTTATTTTTATATCTTTAAATGTTTTGGAAATAGTAACATAAAATTCAGTAATTTTTTTTTCCTTAGGTGTGTTTATTTTGTTTCATTTGTTTAGGGGTTTTGTTTTTAGATTTCTAACTTAAGAATCATAAGTACTTAAGAAAAGTTTCCTAGGAGCTTACTGGAACTTTCTTCTTCCACCAAAAAGCAAGGGGTATAAAAATATCTAATGAGTTGGTACCACATCAACAATAAATACAGGCCATTAATATACTGATCCTAATTCATGTTTTGGCCCTGCACTGCCACTTTGGGGCTGTTTTCATGACCTGCCAAAATGGGTGGCTCTCACTTCCTCCTTCAAGGGCTGCTGCAGACTTGAATCAGGTTGATTTATGTATTTATGTACTAGTTAGCATTCTAGGCCTCCCTTGGCACTTGGCCTGTGCCCACACTTGATAAAGCAAAAGGGGACCATCGAACTGGAACATGTCTCATAAATTAAAGTTCAGTAGACAGGAAGCTGGGTAATGCCAGTGGAAGGAAAAATTGCCTTTATTGTTCTTTTAAAATCAATCGTAAGAGTTCTAAAAGATAAAAAAGAAAATATAAATATTCATTAATATTGACATAATTCATTGTTATTCACTTAATTTAATAATTCAATATGCATTACTAATGGTGGTATAGCACTGATCTGTGCACTGCTGTACAGAGGTAACTCATGGTTGCTGTGATCCTAAACACTGACACTGATGTGCCAAATGTGGTAATGGTTAACCACGGTGGACAGTGTTTGGTGGAACTTCCTGATTAAAACAAGCTTGGAAGCAGGAGTGGCATCCACTTCTGAAATGGCTTGCCTCTGGAAACCCTATGAACAGTGCTCAGCCTTTCATTCGTAGGGCCACTATGAGTCATCCATGACTCGATGGCACCTAACAACAACATGCATTATCATGTTGTTACACCAGTGTGTCTCAACTTACATTCAGTTTGCTCTCATTTGAAAGCACTACAGACATTCTGTGAACATGCAGAGAGGACATGTATTTAAATTTTGTTTCATCTTCAAGCTGTGAAAGATTAAAAAATATTTTTTCATGAATATACTATAGTGATATATTCTAAAATATGCATTAAGATGTGAGGGGGAAATAGAAGCTCTGAACACAGGTGACCTAGATCATATTTAGGACTATAGTCTTATAGCATCCACTTCCTAACCCACATGCCTCTAGAAACTATGGACTTTAATAAATGTTGATAGTTGTAGAGGGACTTCAGGCCTTTTGTACATAGTGTGGCTATGAGTCGTGCTCTACTCGAAGGCAATCAGCAACAATAGTCTTATAAGAGGAAATTAATCTACTCTCAACTAGCTGTCTGACCTCAGCTAAGTAACTAAGAACCTTATTAAACTTCTTTACTTTTTTTGTAAATTGTTTACACCCATTTCCTTGCAAACATATGAATCTATGGTCTGTCCAATATCCTTTCATTCATTATTACAGTATTTTATGTCCTAGTTTTCAAACTGTCAAAGAGTATTTGGGGGGGAGTTATTTTATTTTATTGAGATTTTAATGGAAATTTGCCAAAAAGTTGGATTTTCATTAATTCATTATTGTAAGTTTTCCTCCCTCTTCCTCCCTTCCCCACTACCTCACATTCCCCTTTTTAAAAAAATATTCATTCACCATTGCCGTTTTCTCCCTATTACCTCCTTTCACCCTCCCCCTGTCTACTTTGCAGTGTACTTCTAATTCTGGATTGTTGTGAGATATAGAGATAGAAATAGAGATACAGATACAGAGATAGAGATATATAAAATAATCACATACTCCTTTTAAACAGTTCTTCCCCTTATCCATTCAGGCAGTGTTCATTAGCTACTTACTCTTTTCCTATACTCCCTTTAGTTCCACCACCAGGTTAGTACTTCTTTATAACAGTGATATTGTGCAATATTTGCCCTTTTGCGACTAAGATATTTCACTCAAGATAATGTTCTCCAGGGTCACTCATGCTGTGCAATGTTGTACGAGTTCATTGGTTTTCTTTTCTTTACCTAACTTGGAAGAGACTGGAGAGCATTCTACTGAGTGAACTAACTCAGTCCCACAAGGACAAATATTGTATAAAACTATTATTGTAGAATGATTATAAGGATCCAAGGGTGGAGGGAGAGGGTGGAAGCAGAGGGGTGAGGATGTGCAGGGGAAGTGGGGCCTAAGCATGGAGTTGTACAATTTGATGGGTCAAGGAAATTGGAAGACTCTGGTCTCAAAATCAACATATTCAAATTTTGTAAACAAACTAATATATTTTTAAAAGAGTTTTATTTTTTATATATCCAATGTGAATGTCCTCAAGCTCTTAGTTGCTGGGTGTTGTAAACCCTGATCTTGGTTTTGCCATTAACTAGTTGTGTGACCTTGAACAAGGTTTTATCACTCAGAGTTTGCATTTGTGCATGGTTGTTGTGGAACACCCAATATTTAAAAAGCATATAGGAAAAGTATTAATACACTTTCTATAAAATATTGTTACCTTCAGTTTGACTGTTTTCTTTTTAAATTGATGTTTGATAGTTCCTTTGACCCTTTTGTGATGTTCTGTTTCCTTTTTCTCCCAAAGTGATAATAGCTATTATTTTTGGAGTAATGTCTGGTATCATTGGAACTGTCCTCTTCATTGCCTTCTGCGTCAGGCTCCTGATAAAGGTGAAAATTCAGTTTTTAATTTTGAAGTGCTCATGACTTACTTCTCTAGATTTAAGTAAATCCAAAGAAGAAGTTACATAAAGCTCAATCTCTTTCAGCTGTACACATAGTAGTCACGGAGTTGTTCTCATAGAACTGGTGTTAGCATTTCATCACCAAACCCACCCGCAGCTAACAAACAAGTCAGTTCTCTTTTTAAATTTTACTCTAATTATTTAATATGTGCTGATACTATAATCAAAAGAGTCTTGTTGGTGTGTGGTTAAGTACACAACCACTACCTAAAAGGCAGTAGTTTGAACCTCCCAGCTGAGCTCTGCAGAAGCCCAGGAAGTCTGTGCTACAAAGACAACTTCCTTGCAAACCCTATGGAGTAGTTCTCCTGGGACCTAAGGGGGACTATGAGTCACGAGTGACTATTATCACCTCAACTTCCAGGGAAAACTTCCAGGGAGGACAAAAGTACAATTCTTATTCAGATCAACCCTATAAGACAGAAAATAATTTCCTCATAAGATTTCCAAGGCTGTAAATCTTTATAGTAGCAAATAGTCACATATCTCTGCCTTGGAAAAGAAGGTGCATTCCAATCATCAACTTTCAGTTAGCAGCAAATCCTTAGTACTGTGTCACTAGAGTTTCTTGACCAATCTAAAGGAACTTCATGTATAAATATGATGGGAGATCACACCCTAAGTTTATATATCCCCATTTCTTCAAGGAAAGATACTCCAAAGTGTTTATCTAACTTGACATAAAACTCTTGCTTGTTGTATATGAGAGACTTAAGTGAAAGACAAAGCCCTGGGAACCTCGTGTCAAGGAATTATGTCTCCAACTCGAAGGCCGTCTGCATCTGCCAGCTGCTCTATAGGATAAATATGGGCACTCTTCTCCTCCTGGGAGATTTACAGCCTCTAAAAACTCACTGGAGGGTTAGCTATGAGTTGGTTCTGAAAACAAAACAAAACAAAACAAGAATAAATATAATAAATACTGGAGAAAAATCTTCTTGAGTTTATGTGGCAATTGATATAACTTCTTCTTGGTCATTATTCTGAAATCTGAAAAAAGGCTATAAAATACTAGGTTAATAGAATATTTTCTAGATAAACAGGAAAATGTGGTCAAGGTCAAACTTACTGAAAGACCTTACTTTCTCCTCCTTCCCTCTTCTTCTCCTGCCATTTAATTTCAGCTAATCAACACAATAGAGAGAATGATGAGAAGATAATTTGGGGAGTAATAAATTATCTATTGAGAAACCAAATGTTAAGTACAAATAGAAGGTAACTCGATGATTATAAACATGTACAAAATAGTAACTTCTTCCAAAAACACTCTACAAATTAAATTATAACCAAAAGATAAATGAGTAGCTTTTGAAGAGATATTTTTAATTTGTATAACTTTTCCTCTTAATTCCTTAATTTCTAAAACATATACACTAATATCTGTCTGGTTTTTGTTCACAGAAAAGTTCATTTGATGTACCAAACAACAAAGATGTTTCTTTAGGTTCTATGGAAGCAGGAAGAACAGGTTGGTGCTAATATTTTCTGGGTGGTGTGAATATTTACTCTGCTGGTGCTAATATTGTTTGTTGCCTTTTTAAAAATTAAATTAATTAATGAGCTTGTTTTGTCTGAATTTGGAGACACCAGAAACACTAAACTCAGATTTGCTTGGTTTCTAGCTCATTCATGCTACTTTAATGTGAACATCAATCTGTAACATAGTAAAAATCGACAGTTAGTATACTATGACAATTAATAATCTGGAACAGGACAATTGTTGTGAAGTGAATTTGAAGATGGGTACAGTAGTAAGTCTGCATCATGAATGAATGACAACTAATCTGTTTGCCAAAGCTCACTATAAGCACACATTATTTAAAAAGAAAAACAATCTGAGGAGACTTAAAACTGAACAAATTAAGCACAGTAAGTACTATAGGTGAGAAAAAAAAATAAAATCAGATTCAATTACATAAAATATTATCATAAAAAATACAAGTATTTTTCAAGCTGCAACATTATATATACAGAAGAAAATGTAATGAATGTCATTTAAGATCTCTGAATCTTGAGCCAGATTTGGATTTAAATCCATGCTGCAATACTTTCTTACTGTTTGATCTTGAGGAGGATAGTAACAGTGTTTTAAAATGAACGCAAAAGTACTGCCATTGTGCAAGCCCTTGAAGATAAACATATAGAATTAACAGAGGCCATAGTCAGTGTTCATCTCCATCAGTTATCACTAACATTGCAAGCTCTGTTCCCAGTTCAGTTCCTCTTCACAACTGGTCCATTAGGTGACCTCTCAGTTTGACTCCCAAATGCTAATTAAATACACAGACTGTAAAGGACATGCAGGTATATTTTTACTTCCAGAGTACACTGGAGCAATGATTGCCAACTTTTAGAAGTGGAAATATTTTACTTTAAAAATAAAAACGAAAGCCCAGGATTCTCTTGGAGAGGAATGGTAAAGTTAGACAAAGCCAGCAATCTCTGTATTTATCAGCATGAGAGAAATTCCTAAGAACTGAGTAGGTACTGCCACATCTAGCACCTATCTTCCAATTTTATTTAAATTTTTGTCCCTGTTCTTTCTTTGTTATTTATGTTTCCTTTTTTAAACCTAGTCAATCTATTTTTTTCTGGTTTTGTGGCCCCCGTTACCCTCATAAATTGTGTTTCTCTTGACCTTTCCCTGAAGCATAAACCAGAGTATCTAGAACAGACTTTCTCCTTTCAAGGCAAAATCAACTCTTAGCTGACCCTCCAGAAAGTTTTCAAGGATTGTAAATCACATGGGAGCAAATCGTTCATATTTCTCCTGTAGAGCAGCTGGTGGCTTCAAAACACATAACTTTGGGTTGACAGCTCAGCCCCTTACCCGCAGGCACCAGTGTTTGTTTGGGAGATATCCGCAAAGAGTAAATCTTTGAAATAGATCTTAGTATATGAGATATTAAGCAAAATAAGTCCATACTGTTCTATAAGAATTTGTAAGGACCAGGTTCAGCCTTCTGTAAAACCACTAAAGGTTTTCCTCCAATAATTATTATAAAAAAAAAAAATCCCAGGAAGCTCTAGTGACCTAGTGGCAAGAAGCTACACTGCAATACCAGAGGCGCACGCTTCGAATCCACCAGATGATCTGCTGGAGAAGGAGGGACAATCTCCTGTACCAGTCAGATCCGAGTTGACGGTACACACACACACAAATAATAAAATAAAAATTAAAAAGAAATCCCTACAGAACCTGTACATTTCTAGATTTTTGTCTTAATCCTGGACCAAGCACTTAATCATCAAAGGATTTGCTAGCATTTCTAAACTTTACTTTTTAAAATATTTTTCTGCTTAGAAATCACTTTTTTTGCAAGGAAAGAAATGAACAATCTTTCCTCATGCAATTTACTGACTTTGAAAACCTATTGGAGGGTCAGCTACGAGTCAATTTGACTCAATAGTACAGAACAACCCTTTCAGTAACTTCTAAGTCAAAAGCATTAAAAGATAAGCAAACCAATGCCATTTCTACAAGAAATACGATACGAGGATGCAATTAAAGTTTGCATCTTCTTCAATGCCTCGAATTTGCACATAATTTAGGTTGGCTGTGTCACAAGAATAAGAGAATCTGAGGTAGCCACTCGGGGTGGCAGCCACTCAGGACTCCCAGTCCATGCTTCACAGGAGATATGTCCTTCCTGTGATCCTAACTGGACAAAACCTGAAAACATACAATTTCCAAGACAGAAAAAGTTCTCTCAATCCCTCCAAATTGTTTTGAGGAGGTCACAAAAATCTAGGCTTTCACCCAGAAAATTGGGGATTAATCAATTGATGAAATAAACTAGTGTCCTTTTCACTGTATGTGCTAGGATCAAAGAGGAATTTGAAGGAATAAGTTTCCGCTTTGGTTTCTCTTTGTTTATGTACAACACAATTACTTAGTTCAAAAGATATTACATAATGAGGCACTTGCTTTAAAATATGGACACTTATATAAACTTTCTTATAATTTACTGTCTTCTTGCAGTAAAAATGGAAGGGGAAACCAAAGCCAAACCCACCGTCGAGCTGGTTCTGATCCGTAGTTACTTTTCAGTGCGTTTCCGAGGCTGTGCCTGGTTATGGGAAGAGACTGCCCTACTTTCCTCTTAGAGTGGCTCTTAGATTTGAACTGCCAACCTTCCCTGCCTCTGTACAAGTTCTCTCTTATTCTTTCACTGCACAGAAACTAGGAGCAGAACAATTCTGTTTCTTCCTTACCTAAAGTTTTTAGAATATTCAGAGAAAATCTGTTTCTTTCTTCACAGAAAACTCCCTGATACTAATTTAAAAGGAGATTCACTACATTCCCTAAAAATTATATTCAATGACAACTCCATAATAATGTAGAGTACAAAAGCTTACTCATGCATTAATTTGTTTTGTGTTTAAATATAATTATGTCTTACACTGTGTATGTTTTTCCTCTCTTTAATTCTTTTACAGAATAGTTATCAGTGAAAATATGCTCACCTCATCAGATTTGAGGAGAACACTAAGAAGATAGGAAGACTACAGTCAAGTAAAAAAAAGAGCATGTTAATCAGACACCCCAATACATTTTATTTGTTAAATTTCAGGATGCAGAGTTCTCTAGAATGGATTCCAGTGACTCAAAAATGGAAAAAATGCTTATGTTCATTAATATTTCAACATGGAAAAAATATTTACTTGCAGTCGTGCTTTTGTATGTTGGTATATTTTGTATAGCTCATTAACTGGAAAATTGACAGTCAAAGCTGTAGCTGGTTCTGTTCATAGTTCTTTAAGACTGATTTGTTCTATTCTAGTTTTGTGATTGTGATTAGATGAAGGCTAACCTTGTTTCTCATTTTGAAATGTTTTCTTTTTTTCTAAATAAATTAAGTAGAGCCAAAAGTCCTATCATTTCTTCCACTGTTCAAGGCAAAAATGATGTTATACAAATAAAAAATACTTTTAATCCACATAAATAAAGCTTATGCTTTAAAATACCACATATGTGAATAAATTACGTATATATGTCTATTTTATGATAGCTTGGAAGTAGGAGTAGCATCCACTTTCTAAACTACCTACCTCCGGAAACTCTATGAACTTTGATAAATGTCGATAGTTATAGAAAGGCTGTAGGTGTTTTGTTCATAGGGTCACTGTGAGTCGTGCTCAACCCGAAGGCAATCAATAACAATTACGATAACACCCATATTCATCACTTAATTAAATAAATGAGCACAAAGATGTTTCCCCCATAAGATGATGAGATGTTACCCACGTGTAAATGACTCATCTGAAAAAAAAACCAATCTGGTTGTAGAGCCTCAATTCCTTAAAGATATGATGTGCTATGTTCTTCTGAAAGAATAATTTATACATGTGTTCAGAGTATTCTGAAAGAGCAAAGAATGATTTTTTTTTCTTACAAAAGAAACTAATTGTACATGCTGCAAGGTATGCAAACTTATATGCAGATGAGTATTTTGACAAGTCTAAATTTATCTAAATTTCCAAATCTTACTAAAACTCTTCCAGTTTACTTTTCTATAAACCAAACTTTGAAAATCTCAATTATCCTTCTATTTTAAGAATAAAGATCTTATGAAGCACTGGTCCTTATGAGACTGATAAAAAACCAGATGGGAAAATGGAAGAGAGAGGGTATAAGGGTCAAGTGGGGGTAAATCCTAGTTGGGTGTCACAGGTGGGCGGGTGGAGGAAAGGGGTGAAGGAATTAGGAAAGATCCAATGGAGCCCTGAAAAGACAGGGTAATACTAAGATTAGATCACTGGTGATTAATTTTCTTAAACACAATATATAGGAATGATTGTACAAAAAATCTGAATGGATGAGGAATGTGTGAAACACAATGTCTATGAATAAAACACAATATATGTGAATTTTGTATGCAAATAAATATAAAATAAACTTTAAGAAATAGATGTGAATTATATTTCTGCAGTTTGTAACTAAATTCTTTTATGGTATGTTGTTGTTCTTGCTGTTGTGTGCCATCAAGTTGCCTGCAACCCATAGTGACCCTATGTACAGCAGCTCTGAAGCCTGTCCTGTCCTGAGCCAGTCTCACTAATTCTGACACATCAACCCCCATTGTCCCAGTTACTGTATCAATCTATCTCTCCTGGGGTCTTACTAAGCTGCCCCTCCATCCTTCTGACCCTGATGTCCTTCTCCAAGGATTGGTCCCTCCTGGCCATATGCCCAAAGTATGTGAGATGGAGCTTCAAAATCTTAGCCTCCAAGGAGATATTTGGTTTCACCCTCTCCAAGCAGATCTATTTGTTTTCTTGGCAGTCTATGGTATGTATGTTCAAGATTCTTCTCGAGCACCACAATTTTCAAAGGCATCGATTCTTCTTCTGTCATTCTTAGTCATTATTCAGCTCTCTGATGCAGAGAAAGTAATTGAGAAATAAGTATGATTGGAGAAATGGAAAGGCAGTGAACGAGAGAAGGACCTTCAATAAAATGGATTGACACAGTGACTGCAGCAATGGGTTTAGGCAGAGTAGAGATTGTGAGGGTGGAGTGGAATAGGGTAGAGTTTCATTATGTTGTGTAGAAGGTTCTGATGAGTCACAGTTTCTGAAAAGACAGCTATGAAAATTATAGAACAATTTCCTTAATCTCATATTATTGTTGTTGTTGAGTGATGTCGAGCCGTATACAACTCATAGCAACCCTATGAATGAAAGACCTGAACAATTGTATAACTTTCATTGTTTCTCGAAGTTCATAGGATTTCCAGAGGCAAGCTATTTCGGAAGTGGATGCTACTCCTGAAGGAAGAATATGACAGTTGCCCCACCACCCCCTAGCTTGATCACTTCCTAAGAAACTTGATAAACTTAGCTGGTCATATCAAAGACCAGACCAGACAATGGATCCTGATGAGAGTCTGAGCTTGATTAAAACAGCTAAAACCTAACTTAATTAACACGCCAATTTCCAAGAAGTACCATCTTGGTCCTCCCCAGAACCCCTATAAAAAGGAAACTCCCCAAACTGCCAATGCACCATTTCGATCCTGTCTGCATGCCATGTGGCCAGGTCACTTGGTATCCATCTCAGACCGCACAATAAAGGCCTGTCCATTTCTTGGGACCAATTTCTTTCTTTATTTCTCTCCCTCTTGCCCTCATGCCCTTTGTTTATATCTAACAACTCCTTTTTCCAAGCTTGTTTTAATCTGGGAGCTCCACCAAACATTATCCTCCGTGGATAACCATTATTGCATTTGACACTTCAGTGTCACAGTGTTTCACATAACAGCAAACACGAGTTACCTCTATATAGCAAATAGACCAGTGCTATACCACTTAGAAGAATGTCTGACCAAAAAAAAATTAAAACCAGGCCTGAGGGCTGCAGATTAAAATCACCCACCTTTAGCTTGGTAGCATAGCTTTCTGTCCATTAGGCCAACTGAGCTCTCTCTATGTTGTTGTGGTTGTTGTTATTAAGTGCCATCTGTAACGGAGCAAGTCCCCAAAAAGATCACTGAGCCAATTAGCCAAATTACCAAAGTTTATTTCAAGTTTGAATCCAGGCCCCCGTGTACTAACACAGCAACATCGACCCTAGAGCCCCGAGCTAGCGCATGCTTCTCCTTTTTATACTCCTGTTACTTCTCTGTCTAACTATACATTCTTCGATTGGCTACCTATAGTGGTAAGAGTACTAGTTTGCTTTCAATTGGTTAGATATAGCTCAGGGAAGTGGTTTGGAGACTTGTTTGAACCCGATTGGTAAGGAAATGGTTTGGAAACCTATTTCAATCTGATTGGTTACCTCAAATATAGAGAAGTTTGTTACCCTTACGAAAAGCCCCTTATACCCTTACAAGGAAGAAGAATTCCACTTTATGGCAGTTGAACTAATTAGGGTGTGATTCACCGCAGGTGGGGGTTGTTGGCTAGAATCTACTCAAGCCGGTGGGGTGGGGGTAGCTGCACTTTACCAGAAACCGAGTTTCTGATACTCGGTTCTTACACCATCGAGTCATAGATGACTCATAGCGACCCTATGAATGAAATACCTGAACACTAGTATAACTTTCATTGATTCTCCAGGTTCATAGGGTTTCTGGAGGCAAACTATTTCGGAAGTGGATACAGCCCTCAGGCCTGGTTTTAGTTGTTTTTGGTCAAACATTTTTCTAAATAGTAAAACTCTGGTCTGTGCATTGCTGTACAGAGGTAACTTATGGTTGCTGTGATGCTAAACACTTTGACACTCATGTGCCTAATGTGATAATGGTTATCCATGCTGGACAGTGTTTGGTGGAGTTCCACAATCAAACCAAGCTTGGAAGCTTTAGCGGTATACACTTCCGAAATAGCCTATATGTTAGGGTATAATTATGTCCTACAGGGTTTTAAATAAATAACATATAATTGTGTGTGTCACATTTCCAGGCCTTTCTTTTGAGACTTTATGAAAATGACTTCTGCCTTCACCATGACCATGCAATTTCTTGCAATCTATGAGGTGTTTGATAATGTTGATCATTCCCTTTAAAAAGGAGAGGAAAGATGGCAGAAAAGAAGAGAAAAATTGATATGGGTAGGATAAGGGACACCTGACTCAAATTATGACAGGATCTAAACTAAGTTACTATTTTCATCTGTGGGGGGGGGGACCAATTAAAGAAACAAGTCCCTAAAAAGAAGCAGGCACTCATGTGAAACCTGGATGAAGACCTGAAAAAGGGGCGGTGTTACCAACACCCAAGATGAGTGGTAGAGTAATTTCAAAGTCAAAGGCATTAGGAGGTTATAAGATTTTGACATTTCAGCAAATATTAGAGAATTTAGAGAATAATTAATCTATGCCCTCCTTGAATAGTTCCACACTTTTTTGCTATACTTCCAGTTATGCATTTTGTACATTTCAGTATAATGTTTATGGAGAGAAACAAACTTTACTCTCTTCACATTTTAATAATTAAATCAGCAAAAATTATAATAAGAAATGATGGACGGTATTAATAAATTCAGAATTTTCTAAATATGTATCAGTTCTAAAACTATAGTTATGCAGTTATAGAACTGATAAAAGTTTTCTCCAGCCTGTAAACTAACTACTTTGACTTAGAATTCTTTCTTTCCTTTCT